AATTAATTTTCCTTGGATGCCTTAGATATTTTCATGAGCATTGGGGGAGGAATATTCCTTGTTCCTTTCTGATTTGAAGGCAGCTAAGACAAGGGAAATAAATAGGGGGTTACACATGTTAATTAAGCATTCAAGTGGGTTTTTATTCACTTGTTTAGGCGCCATTCATGGAGTATAACCTCCTTAGTTTAATTGATTTTTATTACTATTTATTTGCATGTTTTATTTTCAGTTTATAGTAGTAATTAGCTTAGTTTAAGTTGTTGTAATAAAAGTTATAACTGTCAGCTGTTAGAAGGGAGAAAGCTGGGCGCATCTACAGCGAGTTCCCCAAGGAACTGATTAAGGAACTCGTTAAGGAACAGCAACAATTATTAGTCTTCGATGTATGACGGTTTGCATGGAACTAATACATTGAGGGACTGCTCATTGTGGCGACTGTTGAGTTCCCTTTTGGCTGGCGACTTTTTAGTTCCCTTTTATTAAATTAGCTAAGTAAGATAATTAATGTAACTACTTCCTTAGTCTATAAAAGGAAGTCTAGTCTAGCTTTTGTAATCAGATCAGATTATTATGAATGAAATATTTACCTTTGAAATATACCTTGTGTTATTTCTTGTTTTAACTTGTGGATTCAAGTTACTTGAACTCGTGGACTCGAGTTTGTGAGCTTAACTCGAAGTGTTCGGGGTTAGCTTGTCTTATGGTCAGTAGAGTGAGTGTTCAACTCTAACCATACCTATCCTTGATTAGTATTGCGAGTGTTCCTTTCTAGTCAAACTTTGAGTTCCTCATTCTCAGGAACTAGTTCCTGTTCCTTACCCCTGTTCCTACGTAAACACCTAGCCTAAACACTGAACCACTTAAACACCTAGCCTAAACACTTAACCCATAACCCGAAACACCTAACCCTACCTTAGATTCCGCATCAGTAACCTACATTAGCGTTTATTTATGACGAACATCAAAGGGACATATAATACGTCACCTAACACTCCCTTTCTTCTATACCTTTCTCTCTCCTTCAAATTAAATTCCCTCGCTAACTTAGTCTCAATTTCATTTATTCATTCCACTCTAATCATAAATGACCTTAATTTGCGAAACACAAATTCTTGAAGCGAAGATTTTGTTGTTGTATTACTTGAAGAAAGCTTTCCTTAAGTTGCAATTTGTTGTTAGTGGGTGGCTTGCAATAGCATCGTGGGCTTATAAATTCCATGCACAAGTCGAATTTCAAGGGAAGGAGCAACAAGACTTTTGTTATTGACATGATTTGATGTGAGAAAGACAACAATGGAACCCTAAAAAAAGTTAGAGGGGAAAGCGAATTAAATAAAAGGAGGAAGAAGGCCAGATTATTTGGAGGGAAACTTTCCCAGCAAAACAAAGACCAAAACGCTGCTTTTAAAAAGATAATAACGAAACCTTATTAACGACAACATAACAGCAAGGTCACAATTAACTTACTATATAAACAACATTACAGTATGTAACTTCCAAAAAGAGGGGTTACAAGCCTACAACTTGAAAAAGTCAACAGTAGAGGGACTAGAGGGTCACTATATAGAATTTTCCTATTAAATTTTATTCTCATGGTTTACCAGACCTGATAATTCGACCATAACATACCACAAAATCAGGAAGTTTTTTTTTTTTTTGGTTGGTCAAGGTTCTAGCTCGTTTAAGTTGATTTCTTGTTTTTTTTTTTTTTTTTTTCTGTTGTTAATTTGTGTGTATGCAATTCAATTCCAAGGGGAGGGATCCGGTGAGAATAGGTTTATACGTGAGAACCTTATTATATATGAGAACAAATCTCAACCATTAGATACCTCATGATCCAACTGTTGAGATTGCTCACATAATAAAGGCAAAAATGTAATTTACATTTTTTTTGTTTGGCTCATTTTGAGCCATAATTTTTGTTCATTTATCAAATGAGCAAACAATTATTTGCTCATTTATCAAATGAGCAACAATTCTTTGTTCATTTATCAAAAGAGCAAAAAAAATGTAATTTACATTTTTTTTTGTTTGGCTCATTTTGAGCCATAATTTTTGTTCATTTATCAAATGAGCAAACAATTATTTGCTCATTTATCAAATGAGCAACAATTCTTTGTTCATTTATCAAAAGAGCAAAAAAAAAAAATTTTTTTTTTTTTTTACATTATTTTTTTTTTGTTTTTTTTTTTTGTTTTTTTTTTCTCATTTATCAAATGAGCAACATTTATTTGTTTATTTATTAAATGAGCAAACAATATTTCTTTGTTTTGTTTGCTCATTTATCAAATGAGCAACTATTCTTTGTTCATTATCAAATGAGCAACAATTCTAAAACATTCAAACTTATATGAAACCTTGAACTTACTTACTATATCTGAAAATGTAAATAATTGTTGGACCATAAGAGACCAACCGTATACTAATTTATATTATGCACTTCATTTTCTGCCTATTTTTGAAGTAGATAGTTACAAGGATAAGTTAATACATATTGTTCCGCTCATATCCTTCACAAATGAGCAAACTGAAATTAAAATGAGCAAACTAAATAAAAATGAGCAAAAACACATACAATAAAAATTTAATATATATAAATAAAGTAGGCATTTTTGGAGAGCATTCGGCGCGCCACATAAGCAAAGGTATTTTTTTGACCAATTAAAAATTAGATTTCTATTTTATTTTGGAATTAAAAAAATTCGTTTGCCACCTAAACAAAAGTGACGAATGAGATCTAAGAATTTTTCCACGTAAGTAAAAACAACGAATATTGATTTATTAGGATTTAATTTATTTAAAAAACTAAAAATTATCTTTTAAAATAATCAGTTTTAGATATAGGATTTATATACCTACTATTATAAGATAAATTTTGATAGTGTTTATGATAAGAAATAAAAATTATTCCTTAATTATAATTAAATTAAAATGTGTGACATTTAACATTATAAATTGACGCATCCTATAACACCAACAAAATTTCGTATCTATACTAAACCAAACCAAGCAAATTTTGTGTCGTTAATTTTGTGTCCGTTTTATTAGGTCATCAATGGGTGGGTAATTCTTAGCCTAATTTTTAAAACCCATATTTAAATGTATATTTGTGATTATTATTACTTAAATTGTGTTTATTGGGATACTTAATGATTATATATTTATGTTTTGTTTACTGAATTTTGTTTTTACATGCAGATCTAATTTAATCAGAGAATTATGTTTGAGAAAAAATCTTTGGAATATCAAAGTACGAGTTTCTCGTCTGATAATCCTATTGGATGAGGAGGTATTATATCTTTATAAATCGTTTATATTTATTAAATCTTTTAATGAACCTTTTAGTTTTTATCAATTAATTTTAGGCCAAATTGGAAAGTAACACCTAATAAAAACACTAATTTTGCTTATAACACCAAAACATTTCGATATTTTATTATAACACCTGTTAAAAAATAAAATTTTTGGTTCCACCACCTAAATGGTTATGCCGTTAGTGAAGCTGTTAGTGGGGCCCACTGCAACGACTATTTTTTGCTCAGTGATGTACACAGTTACGATAAACTTCACAAACATTCAATTGTTGATGTTTACACAAAATTTGGGTCAAATATTACGAATTGAACAACAAAATTGCACATATTGTTCGATTTTAGCATAATTGTCCAGGAGAGGAAGATTTGAAATTAGGTAATTGCATCAAAACCACTGCAGAAAACCCCAATTTATCTTACTTAAATTTCATGTAATTCAAACTATGTTGTTGAATTAAGGGCATTATTCAGTTTGCATGTGTTAGTATTCATCAATTTCATTCAAATTAGGGTTCATTGTGTGTTAATTGTCCTATAAATTGCGAAAAGATGAAATTAGGGTTCGTCGCAAAAATTAAATTGGGGGTTTTGATTTATAGTAGTAATTGTATAATTTCCTTGGTGGAATTGTATGGTTTTTCAAAGTACGAATGGTTTTGCTTATTGTGGTTGGCATTTTGATGCAGGAAATGTCTTTCATAGCTTCGTCTCCTTCAAGGGAGAAGAAGTGCAAGTGTGGTGTTCCTTTTGCGAAGCTTACCAGTTGGACAAGGGAGAACCCTGGTCGGAGTTTAGAACGTGCAAGTTCTATGATCCTGTAACTGAGAGTAGAGGTTGCAAAGCATTTGAATGGGTGGATGAACAAGATGGAACAGCCTGGCAAACAGAGGTGATCAACAATTTGTTGTTGGATAAGAAGCTGTTGAAGGGTGAAATTAGTGACTACAAAAGGGAAGTTGATGATCTTGGTGGACAGATGAGGTGTTTGCTCAATGAAGTGGACAGGCTGAAGTTGAAATGCAAGGCTCTAAACTCTGACAGGAAGAAGATGAACAGAGAGATGCATGGAAGAAATGGAAGATCAGAGCACTCTGTTGTTTGTGTTGCTGTTGGGATTAGTCTGGTCATATTAGTGATGCTAGTTATTGGGGGAGGGGGGTTTGTAATGGTTAAATTGTAATTTGTCCTGAGTCATTACCATTAGTAGTAATGATTTTGTATTGTTTTATAAGTGGGAGTGAACCACTTTTTCAAAGTAATGAACACATATTTTGTAAGGAATGATTTGATCCAAGCACCTAAATATATGATATTCCAATGAACAAAATGAGTAAGTTAGTTGCATTGCTTAATCATATTGGCTTTTACAGCCTAGCACCAAATAGTTACTTTAACAAAATAGGCTGCAACACTAATTGTTCAAAATATTGCATGCTAATGTTCATAATATCAACCTAACACTAACTGTTCAGAAAAACAACAGCAACATCATATAGTCAAATTTGCATTTTTTAAAGTCTGCAGCTTGGCCCTCCTTGTTTGCACACCACTGAGTTGAACTTTGTCTGTGTTTCTGGGCTCTGGTTGACTGGAAGAGGGGGTGATATGTTGCTTGGATTGTGGTTGGCCTTGTTGACTTTGTGAACCTTTCCTCTTACTTAGTGGTTCACAGCCTGGTTGCTCTTAAGGAAAGGTCTTGTTCCCAATGCTGTTTGGACTAGCCCCTACTGCACTCTGTGTTTGAAAGATAAGTAAACATTAGTATAAAAATCCAATTCCATCACAAAATATACCCAAAAATAAGTAACAAAGAATACCTTCTTAGCAGCTTTAATCTCACTCTTCTTCCTTTGCTCAACAACCCATGGTGAGTTTAAAGGGGGCCTTCCTGCAGTTCTTTCATCAGTGGGTTCAGGTACAGTTGGGCGCTTGCAAGTCTTGGCATAGTGGCCAAATCCACCACAGCTCTTGCACTGACTCTTCCTTCTCTGTGCTCTTTGCTGCCCCCTTGCTGCAGATGTTCCCTTACCAGGCTCAAGCTTTCTTTTCTTGGATTTTGGTCTTCCAAGCTACACTTTAAAGGCTGGTGGCTGAGGCTCTCTCATGTTCACTCTCCCAGTGCTTTGGGCCTGGCATTGGTTGAATTGCAGGCTCATATGCAGCTCTGTAGCTCTCCATACTGTAAAAGGGGTGCACATATTGCTCAGCATCACTCCTTTGGTCCATAATGCATGCAAAGGCATGAACACATGGGATGCCTATCAACTGCCAATGATTGCAGGAACAAGTTCCATTCTCCAAGTCAACTAGAACTTGGTCATCATTCAGCTGCACTTCAAAAGTGTCATCCCTGGCAGCTTGCACAATCAATGCCTAGACACATAGCTCATCCTTTGAAATAGCTTATGCACATATGGAGTGAGGTTGCTTGTCAGTTCCTTGGAGTCCTCCCACTTCTCATTGTTCCTCCTCATCATGTACCTCCTCATCCATTCCATTTGGGTGAGGATAGGTTTATCTCTTGCATCTCTAATAACTGAGTTGAAAGTCTCACACATGTTGTTTAGTAACATGTTGGACCTGCAACTATCACTGAATGCATGCCTGCACCAGTGTTGAGTGGGGATGTTGTTCAAGTACTGATAAGCCTGCTCATTAAGCTCCCTTATCTCTTGCATTTGAATCTGAAACTCAAGCTACAAACACAACAAGGTAATGCATCAAGTCTAAAACTATCTAAGCTCACTGAATCCAGCTCATTTTGATACTTGAATTTGTTCAACATACTCTAAGCAACAGATAAGGTCTTACATGTGTTGTTGCTCTTGCAGCACTCCAGAAAAGCTCCTTGAACATTGATCCACTGAACTTCAGCTTGAAATTTGACCAAATGTGCCTAACACAGAACCTTGTTTCTGCACTTGGCACAACTTCAGCTAGGGCTTCAACTAGTCCCTGTTTAACAAGAAAAATAAAGCCTTATCATACTACTCAAAACAAATAATAGCATTGATTGAAAACTACAAACAAACAAGATGCTTTTACCTTCTGCCTGTCTGACATGAAGGTGAAGCCAGAGCCATCTGCACTCCCAAGGCTGTGCATTAGTGATTCCAGAAACCAAACCCAAGTCTCCCTATTTTCAGCCTCACAGGTTGCCCAAGCAATAGGGTAAATGTTGTTGTTCCCATCTTTGGACACTACAACTAATATCTGCCCAGGGTAAGCTCCTTTCAAGTGGAAGCCATCCACCCCAATGATTGGCCTACAACCCTTCAAGAACCCATCTTTCAAAGGCCTCAAACATAAAAACATCCTCATAAACAATGCCATCTACCACCACATTACAACCAGACCCTGGGTTGTATCTCATTATTGCCTTCCCATAATCCCATACCCTTGCATATTGCTCTGTTGCTGAACCAAAAATTATCAACTTAGCTCTACATCTAGCCATCCAACATCTGTAGTAGGTCACTTGAACCCTAAGATCTTGCAGCACCCTATCCCTGATCTGCTTAATTTTCCAGGTTGGGTTACTTCTAAACTCCTCAAGGTACCTCTCTACAATGAACTCTGCAGTGACCTTCTTGTTCTCCTTGCTTCTCACACACATATGCTTTAACCTCATGCTTTTAATTTGCCAAGTCTGCGTTTTTTTAACTTAGTAGCATGGATCTTGAAATTGCACTTCACTCCACCCTTGCATATACACAAAGGCATCCTACTTGTCTTTGTTTCATACTTACACCCACATCTATTCCTACATTGAGTAGTAATCCTACTACTATCATTGTGCAAAAAGTAGTACTCATTCCTATTTTCTATGGCATGCACTCTAAGAGCTTTCCTCAAAACAATCACATTGCTGAACTTAAGCCTATTAACAAGTACAATAGGCTTACTGAAGTCATATTTCTCATTAAACCAAGGACGTCTGTCCTCTTCATCTGATGACCCATCCAAGCTCCTTAAATCATCTGAATCTCCCTCAACTTCTCCCTGCAGTTCAACCTTACTCACATCTAAGTTCTTTGTCAACTTGGCCCTAGGATCCTTTGCAGCCCCCTGATCTTGTAAATCTAAGTGCTTCCCAAGACTTCTTGTTACCTTCTCCAATATCTCTTCAGAATTCTGGACAAACCACCTCTCATCCCCACTATCCTACTCCTCCTCACCAGGCTCCCATGTTATGTCAATGTCACTGCTATCAGTAGAAGAATATCCCTCCTCACTACTAGACTCAATGCCCTCACTGTTATCCCAAAATCCAATCCCTTTGCTTTAGATTTCTTTTTCCCCTTCCTAGTACCATGAACCCTTTCACACTTAACTTTAGATTTCCCCTTATCCAACAACTTCCCTGTACCGAAACCCCCTCACTCTTAGCAGAAACCCCTTCACTCTTTCCTCTCCCCTTACCCTTATCCTGTCTAGATCTAGGTTTAGGAGAATCTGAAGGGTGACTTATGTTAAGTCTTGGGCTCTTCCTAACTGGTACAGGGTCCACTGTACTTTTCTTGCCCTTTCTCTCTGCCTTTTTTGGAGTGGCCTGGGTCTGGGCCTCATGTATGGGCCTTAAAGTTTCATCTACAGTGACAAAACTTCAACAAACCCATCCCCATTCACTATCTCTAAAAGCCCCTTGACTTCCTCTTCATTTACTAGTTCCCTCCTCCCTGTGTTAAAGGTCCTACCTCTTTGTTTATACCACAGTCTATAGTTTGGAGGGACATGGACATTATAATGCACAAACCCATGCACAACACCTTCCCTTAAATAATGTACATCTATCTTATCCACTACCACATCCCTCCTCCAATAGCATAACCCACCACACCAGCAAAGCAAGGCTTTTGATTTTGACACTTTTTTGGGAACAAAAGCACCCCCAACTCTGAATACTATATCAATTAAGCCTTCTTGATTGTTGGCCATCTATGTAACCAATAAACAGATGTAAAGCAAGTCAAAAGAAGCCAACATATGTTACCCCATTTAAACAGTCAAACACACTACTTTTATCAAAACAACCAAACATATTTTACACCAATAAAAGGACAAAGTAGTCAACAGTTCACCTAAATCAATGAATTGTACTAAACAATTAACCATTAAACAATTACATACTTAATTACTCACATATTACTTTAATTTCGCACATTACAGACAGAAAATCACACCCAATTTAACATTTTTTAGGGTTCTAAAATTTTTTCCCAATTTACCCAACATTTCTCAACACAATGGCATATTCACATCATCAGTTTATGAAAACTACTTTAAAAAGATCGAAAGGTACCTCTTTTGGAATCTTACTGCAGTTGCTGTTAGAAACCACGAAAAATCCAAGCTTTTTGGATGTTGAAAATGGCCGACGAACGCTCGCTAAGTTGTTTCGCTGCAATGCTGACACCTACCCGTTGCAATTCAATTCCTCAACCACAAATTTCAGTTTAGGGTTTGATAATTCTCAGTAAATTTCGTACTTCAGTATGAGCAGATAGAATTCAATGAAGATGGAGTAGTTGTGTAATCAATGGAAGGAGAGAGAATCGAAGGGAAAATGAAGAAATTTGGACAGTTAAGTTAGTTGTGGGCCCCACACAGATTTTCCGTCACAGAATCTGTTAACTGGTGGTGGAACCAAAATTTTTATTTTTTTAACAGGTGTTATAATAAAATATCGAAATGTTTTGGTGTTATAAGCAAAATTAGTGTTTTTAAGAGGTGTTATTTTCCAATTTGGCCTTAATTTTATGATTAAAACAAATTTTTTGTGATTTAGGTAGCTTAATTAATTCATAAAATTAACTTAATTTTTTATTTTTAATTACAGGGTAATTGCGTTCATGCCTCAATTAAAGTAAACTTTATTCTACAATTTTGTACAAAATTGATTGAAGGAAAATTTTACTCCATTAGATACTTTTCAGTCGTTACAAATAAGAAGCAATATCGCACACATTGTCAGCGACAACAAAATAATGATTCAATTTTCCAAAATACTATTGTTTGGGCGATTAGGGACGATGAAAAAATCCAATGCATAGATTTAATTTTGTATAATTACAATTTTTAGATTAATTTCTCAACAATTATTCACTTTCTGGTAAATATTTTAATTTATTTTATAAGACTATAAAGATTAATTTTATATAAATTTTATTTTTGCTAACATGTTCTATTTATCCACTTTAATTAGATGGAAGAGATATCAGTGTGAACTAAGTTGGTGATCCTATCGATTTTTTTTAATACAAATTTTTTTACATCGAAATATTACATCTAATAACTATTATTTTTAATGTTCAAAAATATTATGAGTATAATCTAATTACAAAAATTATTTTTATGAGATTTTATGTATAAAAAACCGTGGGATATTAGGATTTAAATTATTACAATAATAAAATTATCTTATGAAATTAATGGTTTTATCTAAATACCCGATTAATAAGATGTTTTTATTTCATAAAAAAAATTTAAAACTTTTAACGCAATAAAAAACTTTACCTTCTTTAAACATTTTATGTCTAAAAATTTGAAAAGACAGATAATTTGTTAGAGATCAAGAGATCACAAGAAATATACAAAATGATATATAGATTTGAGAGTTTAATTTCAAGTGTAAAAAGCAACGAATAATGATTTAGGATTTAAATTATTTTAAAAATAAAAAATTATTATCTTTTCACATTAAAGATTTTATCCTATTATGTAATCAATGAAATATCATATTTACAATTTTTTTTTTTGAAAGATATCATATTATTGTCATATAACTAACAACAACGAATAAAATACAAAACAATAATAAATTAAGTCGCATTATATATTACATTAAAAAAATTATACTTTTGTAATTGGCAATATCATTTTAATTAAATTATTATTATTTTTTTTGTCTGAAATTATTAAATTGTAAAATAAATCAAAGAATTATATATATATATATATATATATATATATATATATATATATATATATATATATATATATATATATAAAACTTAGAGTATATAGGAAATATCTTTTCTTGAGATATATGTATGAAAAATCGTGCATCGCACGGGCTTTCATCTAGTGTATAAATGAAAATGAACAAACTTATATTAGAATCTCAGAAAATTGCTCCATACTATCATCACATAATACACTCTCATTAAACTCATTTTCGATCGCCAAAATCTTTCAATTTCACGGGAACGCGCACCATAATCGTCATTGAGTGGAGCTCGAAAATGACATATTTGGTCTGAATTTTAAGCTTGATTTCTTTGTTATTGATGTTGCAAAGTTAATAACAATTATGTTAATGACGATGTTGTTGATGGCGAACATAATAGTCGCCGATTGGAGCTCGAAGACGCAATTATTGACTTGAATTCGAGCTTAATTTCCTTGTTTTTAATGGCGCGAAGACGATGGTGATATGAGCATTGTACAAAGACGCCATGGTTAATTAGAAGTTGAGCTTAATTTCTTTGAAATTAATGGCGTGAAGTTGATGATGTATACCGAACAATAGGTGAGAGGAGAGAGAAAGAGAGAAATGTAGAGGTGAAAGAGAGAAATAAGGGGGTTGGTTCAAAATACTCTTTTGGTTTTGATATTTAAGGAATAATCAGAGCCCTTAGGTTTAAAAAATTCAAATATATATATATATATATATATGTATGTATGTATGTATGTATGTATGTATGTATGTATGTATATATATATATATATATATGGTTAGGATCCGGTGAGAAGTGTTCTTATGGTGAGAAGTGTGAGAAGATCAGATACATCAAAAGCACATTGCAGGTACATTGACTAAAAATTATAGATACATTAGAAATTCATTTCAGATACATCGATTATTTATTATAGATACATCAAAAAAATTACTCGTAGTTTAGATACAATAAAAACACATTACAGATACATTGACTATTCACTATAGATACATCAAAAAAATATGTTCAGATACATTAAAATAAATAAACCCACCGCATGTATGCTAAAAGACCATTATTGTGAATATTACCTGCACTATGCATGAAAACTTGCTTAATTAAAAAGACATTTAATGAAGGTAAACCTCTTCAATCTTCATGATTTAATTTGGGAATTATGTTTTATTTAGCTAGCGTAAATTGATTATTATAAAACATTGGACATTTTCAATTCAATTAAATTCAATTAGCTGTTGGTCATCTTCTTCATTCAAACACCATTTAGAGCATAATTCAATCAACCAAAAAACAAAACTAGAGCTCTAAACAACAATGGAGGAATTGCAGACATGTACGACGAAGCCGACTGAAAACAACATGAGCCGTTTCGAGCTCCATAGCAGCACTTGAAGTTGATAGGAGGTTGAAGAGAGAGAAAGGAGGAGAGAGAAAGAAAATGGGAAAGCATTCTATCGGGATCTAGGAATTGTACGAAGGACTTGAATTTTTTTGGGACATTAAAGCTCTATTATGATACATTTAACACCATTATAGATACATTAAAGAATTTATAGAAATATATCAAATAGATAATGTAGGTACAACAAGAATTAACAGATGACAAATATGGAATGACGCCATTTTCAACTTTCATTGCTCCATGAATTTATGGAAGAAAGAAGGAGAGATA